GAAGCCCTGCGACTCTCACTCTCATCCTTATCACTAAGGCTGGGTTCACACCTGGGCGTTTTTCAGCGCTGATCGAAGCGCTGAAAACCGCTCAAACAAAGAAATCCCATAATTTCCTATGGGCATGGTTCCCACCTGGGCGTATTTCAGCCCTACGAAAAACGCCCTACGCCCAAACAAGTACGGGAGCTTCTTTGGGGGTGTATTTCAGCGCGTTTCCATTGGTATTCCCGAGTGTGGCTCGGGGTTAACAAAGCGGTAACCCCCGAGCCACACTCGGGAATACAGCGTAGGACTTACCTTGTCCGTGATCCCCGCTGTGTTCTCCGGCGGCTGCCGGATTCCGTCCCTTGCGAGCGGCCACGTCGCGGGGGCGGAACCGCCGGGAAGATTGAAAGTTAGACCAAATGTAAAAAAAATATAGAAAAAATAATAAAGGAAAAAAAATTAAAAAGCATGCCGCCAGTGAAACGCACGTTTCACTGAACGGAAAAACGTGCTAAAAAACGGGGGAAAAACGCGCCTATGCTACACCCAGGTGTGAACCCAGCCTAAGTAATAAAGAAAGGATGAGGATGACAGATGGAGCTGGTCAGGTCAGCAGTGGCACTTAGTTTCTTTCTTGAGAGGGTCTCTTTTAGCTATGGGTCATTGAGTGTATTAGAAGTAATATAATGTGCCATTAGTTGCCACTTAGCCGATGTTCTCCTTCTGAACCTGCAGGGAATTGTTTAACTATGCCCCTTCAGCAAAATAATGATATATCTTAAGCACAGGGCTTTCTTCCCACACCCCCTCCTTTTAGTTTTTGGAAAAGATCCCTGTTCTCATCTCACGAACCAGGAGCCGCTCGAGGTCGGGTTGTGCCATTGCTGGCACGCTGGACCTGTGCTACCCCTCCAGAAACCAGTAAGGTGAGCTGCTGTTCCTGCTTTGCTCTATAAGGTCATTGTTCAGCAGCCAGGAGCTAAGCCAGCCTGAGAACATCCCCTGGGAAATGAGCTTTTCAGTTGTTGAGCTTCAGTTGTGCCCACAGGCTATACATTACTGTAGGCTATGATCGATTATGAGATGGCTTGCTGCTAGTAGAGGATCGTGCGTAGGCTCTGTGTTTTTACTTGTGTATCTTATTATTCTTGCCAAGAGGAAGTCCTGAGGTGCAGCATGCAGAGGCGACAAGTGTTTGCATTGTGTGCTGCCTGCGAGCGATCAGAACGACCGTGCAGGAATTCAGAAGTTAATCTAGAAGCTGAATAGAGCCGCAGATAGAATCACACCAAGCCATTGTTCATGACAATGGTGCAGTTACATACATGCGTATAAGCTGTATCTATGGGCCCTGGGGACTGCCGACTGCTACACAAGGCTTGCGGTCACTGGGAACTCTGCCCTTTTCAGTGATGGAATTTATTTCTGTGCTAGCTTTCCTGTAATTTATACAGCTATGCCCATGTGCGTATAAAATAACTATACAACAAAAAAACTATTTTCAGTTTCCTTTATGCTGACTCCATGGTGATAACTGGCGGGTATTCCTGTTGGAAGTCCTTATGAACACCTGTTTGTGCCCTCCACTTACCATGTCACATCCTGTCTTACTGCAGAAGTAGTCTTTGTCCTGCCCCTGCTTAAGCTGCAGACCTGGGAACCTACTTACAGGGTTATTCACAGAAGGGTGAAGAGTTTGGAGAAGGCCGGAGAAGTGAACAATCTACGATAACATAGCTGGACTGGAAAGTGAGCTGAATTTGAGAAATTTTCCAAAGCAGCTATTTTGGCCTAGATTGTTCACTTCTCCGGCCTTCTCCAAACCCTTCACCCTTTTGTGAATAACTCCCTTAGCTTTTGAGGGTGTGGGGTTTGGCAAGTGGCTAATATGGCTTATATTAGCCATTCTCTTGAAGCAAAGAGAATTGCTAAAAGTAAACCTAATAACAGGTACAGTTATGGTGAAAAAGTAAGTTTTTCACAGGCAAACATTAGCTGCGATGCTCACAAAAGTGTGAAGAGAGTCTGGAGAAGGCAGGAGAAGCGAACAATCTAGGTTCTAGGCCAAAATAGCTGATTTGCAAAAATGTTCCAGTTTAGCTCACTTTCCAGTACAGCTATGTTGTCCTAGATTGTTCAGTTCTCCTGTGTTCTCCAAACTCTTCACCCTTTACTGAATAACCCTGTCGATCTCCACTCCGACAATACAGATAAAGGTCATATATACCTACAGATAAATGTGATATACTTGAGCAAATTACACAAAAAGGCAATGGTGCACTCATTTCCATAATATAAGTTTAGTGAGAATTCAGATTTGTCATGTGTTAATAGTAAGTACACTGCTACATTTATCACCACTTCAAATCCACGAAATCTGAATGTGGTGTTCCAGATTAGGTGCCAATGATCAGAGCCTTCTTAAGCTGGCCATAGACCTATAGATGATCTGCAGATTTTCTGTGGTCAGATGGGAAAATGCAACAGGTTCCTCCATCTACGCTAAACTGTGTGTATGGCGGAATCTCCCGCTGGGCCAAGCTTCAGTATCTTGCTAGTCGGCCCCGCTGGCTGTCCAAATACCTGAACAATGCCAGCATCCAATCAGATTGTTCAGGTATTTTGAGAGCCAGCGGGGCCGACTAGCGAGATACTGAAGCTTGGCCCAGTGGGAGATTCCGCCATACACACAGATTAGCGTAGATGGAGGAATCTGTTGCACTTTTTCCATCTGACCATAGAAATTCTGCAGATAATCTATAGGTGTATGGCCAGCATTAGGAAGTATGGAGTTGAGACCTGTCTTAAGGTGCCCACACACCTTACAATAATTGTACGATAATCGCGGGAAATCCCGCGATCGTACGATTATCGTAAGGTGTGTGGAAGCCGTGTGACCTCTACTACTGTAAGGTCGCACGACTTTTATCTTGGGAACATGTTTGAAAACCCGCCGAGCATCGTATGATGTTCGGCGGGTGTGTAGCATGTTCGTAAGATAAAAGCAGGACGGGCCGGTGTGCGCAAGCGCACACTGCCCGTTCGGCATTGCGGTAATCGGAAGCCCGCCCCTCAGGGGGGCGCGGCTTGCGATCATCGCAAGTACGATCTGCCTGTCCAAGATGGGCAGATCGTACGTTTTTTTAATTACCTTACAACCATCGCAAGACAAAAGTCTTGCGATGGTTGTAAGGTGTGTGCCCAGCATTAGTTGCATATCAGATATCTTGGGTCTACGGTTCTCTTTGCTATTGATGTGTGTGGTGTCGTCATGCCAAGAACAAAAGAGCTCTCTAAGGCCCTCAGAGGCCTCTGTCGAGGGATATAAAAATACAGTAATACCTTGGTTTACAAGTAACTTGGTTTGAGAGCGTTTTGCAAGACAAGCAAACATTTCTGAAAAATGTTGCCTTGATATACAAGCAAATGTCTTGCAATAAGAGCAAAATTTTGTAGAAAAGCGCCACCCGAATAAGGCTGTAGCTGTGTGAGCGATGAGTCTGTTTAACGACAACACAATGTCACATTGGATAGATTCCTTGTTAAGGTTTCACGAAATGAAAAAGATTCCATTGAGTCAAGAGATAGCAGTGATTCCGTTAGTGATAGTGAAAGTCGTCCTACACAATAATCCTCCTCTCTCTCTTGTCCCCCTCACACCGGCCACAAAGGTACATGTAATTGGTTTATTTGTCTTTATATTTTGTACAGTATTATAATACAGTATTGTCATCATTTGTATATGAATATTTTTGGGTTGTGGAACGAATCATCTGAATTTCCATTATTTCCTATGGGGAAGTTCGCTTTGATATACAAGCGCTTTGGATTACAAGCATGCTTCCGGAACGAATTATGCTCGTAAACCAAGGTATTACTGTATTGCGAAATAATTTGACATCACTTATTCCACTGCAAGCAAAATACCTTCAAGTGGTCTTCAAGTGGTATAGATTTTAAACAATGGCAAATGTATCCAGGATTGGGCAGCCCAGGAAATTAAGCCTGAGGGTTAACTGTTTGATGCGCCAAGTCTCGAAAGTAACCCAAGATTACTGTACATCATTGGATCTGCCGGTAACTCTTGTAACAGTTTGGGTCAGTTTGGATCGAAGTGCATGCATCTACAATCAGAAAGAGATTACACAAATTTGACCTGCATGAGAAGTGAGGCAGAAAAACCCTCTGCTGTCCAACAACATTAGAGCCAAACTACAGGTTGCCATATTACATGCAATCAAACACCTGTGGAAACCGAAGGCATTAGTTCAGAAGAAGAACATCAGACAAACTTTTGAAGCATGGTGTGGAAATGTTATAGTTTGGGTTACTCTGTTGCTTCAGGGCCTGGGCAGTTTGCAGTTGTGGAGTCAATTATAAATGCATCATACCAAAGTGTGCTTGATGAGAATGTGAGGCTATCTGTCCGTATTTTGAAGGTGAACTGGAAATGTATTTTTTTTAACTCGATAATGATAAAATGCACCCTTGCAAATTCACCAAGGGATGTCGGAGTCTATGTCGGAGGCTGGCGGTGCAGTTTTGCAAAACGTCTACAAGAAGTTAATTTCTGCTAAAGGATTTATACCGGCTTCTGAGGCCAAGGGTGTACTTACTTTTTCTACAGTACACAATTACATCCTTCAACTAGAACACAAACACTGCTCCTTTCCGTGCTTTTACTACACGGTAATTACCTTAAAGGAGAAATACCTCAATATACAGCTAAAAATGAATCCTGACTCTTATTGGTCCATTGCTATCAAACACCTACCAGTATGATTGTGTGTTTATCGCCTGTCACAGAGATCACAGGACTCCCCCTGACAATGCCTTCATCTGCTTTTCTCTTCAGAACAATGGCACCATGTTTGTTTAGCCATCATCCAGGGTCACCATCTACTTCCAGCCAATCATATTCCGGCTATCAATCGGCACTTCCTCTATATATTTATAGCTGCCTACATTTATATTCTCGTTTTTTTAAATGACCCAATTTCTCTGTCTTGCAGTTGTCCCCGTCATACTAAAGGCATTGGTTTATGATGAGAAACGCGGGGCGTGCAGCGTGGGTTCAGCTGTCCGGGACGCTGCCTGTTATGTCTGTTGGGCCTTCGCCCGTGCCTATGACCCTCCCGAATTGAAGCCATTTGTAAATCAGATTGCAAGGTAAGTTAAGTTGCACTTGTGATATCTTCATTATTTGTATAAACATCATATTTGTTTTTTTGGTAAAGGGCTTAAAGGACAACGTCACAAAAGGTAAAGTTGTTTTTCTGATAAATCCCACCAGGAATAATACTTACCTTCCCCACTCTTGTCACCTGAACAACTAAACATGGTAGTGAAGGGAATGTGTGTATGTATGTTCAGCTGGGAAATGCAGCAGTTAAGTGAACTTGTTGCTTTGCCCTCAAGTGGTTATAAAGCGACCCGGTCAGGGTAGCAAAAAGCCCTAAATTGAGGTGCCCTACAAAAGAAGAGAGCTTATACACACACCTCTCCTCTGCCCCTGACATTTCCAGATGCCTGTATCCCCTGCTGTACATTGTGGTTTCATCCTCTGACTCCTCTGTCATTGCTGAGTCCTATAGAAACCTCAATATTCGGCATTGGACACAGCCAACCGACACTCCCAGAAGTGTTGAATGCCAAAGAGATGGAAGGAGGCTGCAGATGTGGAATGGAGGAAGACAGGAGACACATACAGATTAGTAAATAATGGAAAGTAAGCTCCTGGCATCATAAGATATCTCGTGTTGCCTGGATTTGAGTATTTCTAAACCCCAACCGAATGGCATTTAGTTTGCTTTGCATGCAATGGGGGGAATTGATCAAAACTGGAGCAGATGTGCAAGGCAACCAATCAGCTTCTCTCTTTCATTTTCAAATCTTAACTGAATAAACTGGAGAGAGAAGCTGATTGGTTGTCATGCACATCTGCTCCTCTTTTTGTCTGCTCCAGTTTTGATAAAGTCCTTTCTATGTATCTTGACAATTGACATTTTGTTTTCATCAAATGCTTGTTTCACTCTTTTTCCTGCTTCCTCCTAATCCGGTGTTGCTGATCTCCTGCAACCTCTTTCAACTCCTCCTTGTATACATGGCCTCGTTCCAGCATCAGCTGCACATCATTGCTCTGGATCAGCTTTCTGATGGAGACAATGGTGGGCCATGCCTGCACAATTTGTGTCAACTTGACTGTTTGTAGTCTCCACCAGGGAAGCATTTGACAAGGTAACAATACAGGAGAGTGCCTGTACAGGAATCTTCAAGGCAGGATCACCAGACATTCTTTTAATGAGAGTGACAGATATAAAAAGATTGAAAACACCCTTTTAAATTACATTGCACACAATGAAGCTTGTATTGGATGTTGACGAGTGGGTATAAATCTATTGTAAAGTGCATCTCTAACCAAAGTTTTTCTTTTTAGTTATGGAAAAAGCAGAGAAGTGCTAGAACCCCTTTCATGTTTTTCTGGGACGGGAAGTCAAGGGAAATCTTCCCCATGGGACAGAGACGCCAACAAAAACCTGACAGGAGTTCTAACCATTCCCACTTTTATTTTTATAATAGAAAAGAAAAAAAGAAAGTTTGACTAGATAAACACTTTAAGGCCAGTGTGGTGACTGAAGGTGTCCATAGCACTCAGATAATTATCAAACATGCATGCCTTATTTAAAGGAGAACTATGGGGTTAAGGCTTTTCCCCATAGTTCTCCTTAGGGTAACGGGAGGACACAAACTAGCGTCCTCCCGTCACCCTAAGCTTAGTATACAGCGAGCTGCAGCTCGCAGTATACTGAGACGCTGCAGCTGGAACGGATCATGACAATTATGTCTGGATCCACCCAGCTGCATGAGTGACAGCTGGCTCCGCCTATCTAGAGGCAGAGCCAGCTGTACCCGCCCTCTCCTCCGTCCGTTCCGCCAGTCAGCGCTGGCGGAGCGGGGAGGGGGGGGATCCAGCCCCTCCCCTATCATGGCAGAGAGCTGTGACAGGATCGAGAGGTGAGCGAACGCCGGTATGTGTTCGCTCACCTCCCGATCTACTGAGCCGTGACAGTCTCATTGTCCACAGGGCGGCTAGAACTATGAGGTGAGTGAAAAGCACTCACCTCATAGTTCTCCTTTAACAATCAGAAGTGTTCCGGCTGGTCCTGTGGTAGTTGGATCACTCATCTGGGCCATTTTTATGCTGCAGAATAGCAGATGTCATTGGCATCAGTGTATCCTGCCTAGAGCTGCAGCTAACGATTATTTTCAAAATCGATTAGTTAGCCGATTATTGAGTTTGGTTAATCGGATAAAAAATAAAATACATTTAAAAAAATGGCTCCAGTGATGGACTACAATCTCAATACAAACCAGTAGTCCCATCACTGGAGCTATTTTTTAAAATTTATTTTTTTAAAATTTATTTATTGAGATTGTAGTCCATCACAGGAGCAAGCTTGGAGCGGTGGAAGTAAATAAAAAAATTAAAACTGTGGTGTGCAATATAGTGAAATGAAAAGTGTAAAATTATACAGCAATTAATGCAGAATGGCACCGGCTATAGAGGACTACAAATCCCAGCAATAGTACATTATACAGCACAATGCAGAATACCGCCAGCTACAGAGGAGTACAACAAATCCCAGCAATAGAATATTATACAGCACAATGCAGAATACCACCTGCTATATAGGAATACAACAAATGCCAGCAATACAATATAGCTGGCGGTATTCTGCATTGCGCTGTATAATGTACTATTGCTGGGTTTCGTAGTCCTCTATAGCTAGTGGTATTCGGCATTGCACCACTGTATAATGTACTATTGCTTGGATTTGTTGTAGTCCTCTATAGCTGGTGGTATTCTGCATTGCGCTGTATAATGTATTATTGCTGGGATTTGTAGTCCTCTATACAGCGCAATGCAGAATACCACCAGCTATAGAGGGATACAACAACAACAACAACAAATCTCAGCAATAGTACATTATACATAAAGTGTATAATGTACTATTGCTGGGATTAGTAGTCCTCTGTATAATATACAGCACAATGTACCATCAGCTATAGAGGAATACAAATCCCAGCAATACATTATAGAGCACCATGTGGGGGGGAGTGCAGGCTTACCTGAGCAGTCTTTCAGCAACTTGCTTCTGAGATCGGGCCTGTCTACTACTGTTGACAACTTTTTCAATCATCGATTTATGTCGATTAGTTGTTGCAGCCCTAATCCTGCCCCTATGATATTGGCATCCTGGCTAGCGTTTGCTGGTGACACAGGTTTGAAATTACCACCTGCTGGTCAATCCGTTGTTGTAGCTCATTGGTTTTAGAAGAGTGTCATGTGCAGACACATTCTGACAGGCCTCAGGGTTTGTTCACACCATGTGCATACCAGAACTGTTTGTTCCTGGACCAAATGTATCGCTATGGTATTTCTGGGCTCTGTTCACACCAGCGCAGTCCATTCCAGACCCAAAAAAATACTGCTTGTTCCATTTTCTCTGGTCTGGAATGCATGGAAACGCATCAAAAATGCATGCAAACACAATGGAACGCGCTGGACTGCACTTGAAAGCCCATTTTAAGCTAAAAAACAAACTGCTCTGGAGCATGGCTTGATCGCGGCAAAACGCAATGCACCGCATTCCAGATCTGGTCCGGTAAAATGGTGTGAACCTGGCCTCAGGGCAGAAAAGTTTTTTTTCCACTGACCTGCAAGTTCGGCTATGTCAATCTGGCAAGTTTGTGTGATTGCAGAGAGGCGGTGGCGAGAGGTGTAGGTGGGCACTTCCAATGCTACTTATTATTAGAAATGAGTTTATAATCTGCTTGATAGATGTCCTAGAGATTTCAGGCATCAAGAAACCAGTGCTGGATCCAATGATAGGGCCTAGGCAAGTCCTCAGAGCCACTGGCAATAGGAGGGATTGCATAATCTCCAGAGCAATTCCATTGGTCATAGCCATGCTCAGCATTAGAGAAGAACTATTAAAAACTCTACTAGTGTCTGTCAAGTAGTAAAGCAATACATTAGCATTAAGGTTGGAGCTTATTTCATGGTAGCTGTGCTCCAAGTGAAGATTAGAGGCGAGCTTAATGTCTCTTAAAGAACGTGAATCATCCCACAAAGCGTGGATTGATTAGGGCTGTGTTCGCACTTCAGGGTGTGTGGAGTCCTCTGGAAAACATGGCTGTGTAGTGGGCGCATCTTGATCGCAGCCCGCAAGTGTAAACCTCCTCGAGGTGTGGTACCGAGCTGCAGTATCACCACTCCCTGTGCACAGGCTTTGCTTTATGTAATGATTCAAATTTTGGAGATAGAAGCCACAGCCTTGTTTCATTCTCCAAGAATCTCTGGGGCAGCTTTCTGGAAACTGGAGCACAAGTGGAGTCTGTTTTAATGTTTCAAGTAAAAATCTAATCACAGTGTGGCTGCTGTGTGATATATCCAGTGAAGCAGAGAATGCCACAACTTTGACTGGCAGCAGACATCTTGACTGCAAGCATCACTTGCAGTCCATCTTTCTGCATAAAGGGGGTTAAAATGGCCTTTCTTCATCAGGGCTTCGTACTGTTATCATATTATGTATCATAATTACTGATTCAATTAGAGGGATCCTGAGGGATTATTAGTATGATCGTGCCAGATGTCAGTTAAGCTTTAACCTCTTGCTTTTTATAGTACTTATACAGGGTCTGACTAAAAAAAAAATCTGGACTTTATACCTTCTGGCACGTTCCTCCTTGCAGCTTCAACCTCAATGCCTGGTAGAGCTGCCTAAGGAGAATCATTCCTTCTACTGCACTTTTGACAAGACTGGAAACACTGACTGCTTTATGAGATCCGGTGCCCACACCCTTCTTCCAGTTCTTGAAGTTTTTATTGCAGCCTGTGCCCCCTCTTCGGCGCTTTGCTCTCCATTTGTACTGGTACTGAAATTGAGGGACTATCTAGTGGTCACAAGAATAGATGGGAACTCTTCAAATGGAGAAACTGATTCCAGAGAGAACTGCTTATGAGGAATTTGGGAAACAGATGGCCTTATATCTTTAGATATACGTTCATTTCACCATTCCGTCCAAACACCAGAAGTGTGAGAGCGGCTGTGCTACTTAGCTTGGCTTCATTAAATTCTATAAGCCAGCAAGAATGGGTAACTTTA